GACTTAAATGTAAGACGGGAAACCATAAAAATCTTAGAAGAAGCTATAGGCAGCAAAGTAGCAGACATTTGTGGTAGCAATATCTTTATCGATAGAGCTCCTAGGGCAATGGAAACTAAGGAGAAAATAAACAAATGGGACGACATCAAAATAAAAAGCTTCTGCACAGCAAAGAGACCATCAACAAAACAAGAAAGCCCACTGCATGGGAGAACATATTTGCCAACGATATCTCCGATAAGGGTTTAATCTCCAAAATTTACAGGGAATGCATACTACTTAAATCAACCTTTTAAACGTGGATCTCTTGTTTACAGGCACTGTGATAGGCATGACAGTTTAATTGTTAATAACAACATAGTCACTATCTCCATGTAATTACTGTTGTTTTGTACATAGATTGTCTTCATTTTAATTTTTTTAGATAAATTCCTAGGAATGGAATTTCTGAATCAAAGAGCAAGATGATTTTTGTGATTATTAGTAGGTTTTACTGAATTCCCTCTGAAGTTTACAATGTTGCAAGCAGTTATGAGCAGATTACACTGCATGGCCTCTAGGGCATTTTCTGTGGTTCTGGTTGATCTTTTTATCTGTTTTAAAAATATTTTCTTATTGATTTCAGAGAGCAAGGGAGAGACAGAGAGAGAATCTAACTCTGAGCTCCTGGTTCATAGGTTGATGCTCAACCATTGAGCCATACCAGCTGGGCTCTGTTTGATCTTTCAATCCTCTTCCTCAGTCACATTCCTATCTAAACACTTGGCAAACCTTTTAGATTTTATCCCTACCATATGCCATGTCCGCCCTTTTTATTTCTCACGTGGTCTATTACAGTAGTCCTCAATTGAGGGCGATTTTGCCTCCAGAAGGAACACTTAGCTTGTGGGGTGGAGAGGGGGAAGGGAATCGTATAACATCTAGTGCAGCTATTTTCATCCTTTTTCATCACATTGGTAGTAGACTAAGGAGGCAGAAGAAAGCAAAGCGGGGAAATCTCTAGGATTGGATATAAAGCAAAATGGAGAAACACTTCTTTTACATTGGTGGGTACAGGATAATTAATAATTAACATTCACAGCTCACAGAGATAGTATTTGGGAACAAGATAACAATAAGGGGTTCTGTGGTGTACTGATCTGGTGCCAGCAGTTGTGCCTTCCAGGGGTAGGAAAAGAAAATTACTCTGGCCCGGCCAGTGTGGCTCAGTGGTTGAGCGTTGACCCATGCACCAAGAGGTCCCTGGTTTGATTCCAGGTCAAGGCACATGACCAGGTCGTGGGCTCAATCCCCAGAAGGGGATATGCAGGAGGCAACCAATCCATGTTGATGTTTATCATCGATGTTTCTATCTCTCTCTCCTTCTTCCTCCTCTCTCTCAAAAATCAATAAAAACATATTTAACAATAAAATAAAATGACTATAATGTGTTTTTAAAATATATTTTTATTGATTTTAGAAAGGAAGGGAGAAGAAGAGAGAGATAGAAACATCAATGATGAGAGAGAATCATTGATTGGCTGCCTCCTGCACGCCCTGTACCAGGGATCAAGCCCACAACTGCGGCATTGCCCTGACCAGAAATCTAACTGTGATCTCCTGATTCATAGGTTGATGCTCAACTACTGAGCCACGCCAGCCAGGCCAATGTGTTTTGTTTTGTTTTTAAATGAAAGAAAATTACTTTGTCCTTTCAAAAGTATGTTATCCTAGATGCATAAGAAAAATGGACAGAGCTCACTTAAGGTGAAGGTTGATCTTTGCTAAGGAAGCTTTAGGCCTGGGACATGACATGCCCAGTTAGAAATTTATGATCAGAACATCCTGTGTGGGTACTTTTGGTCACTGAGCTTGTTAGGCCTGCCATGTGCCTCCCACCTAATCCCCTGCTTGTCAAGTTTATTATGTAGCCCCTTTTCTTTCACAATATAAGTAGCCTCCAACCAGTCTCTAACTTTGGTCTCTCCCTAGTCAATTTGTAACATAGGTAGCTACAATGTCAATTTTCTCAAGTTGTGGCCCCAAATGTGCCATTGCCCTACTCAAAACCCATCTGTGTTCCCCATCGACCAATCCAAGCCCTTCAGCTAGATGCTCAAGTCACATAGTGCGACAGCCTTATCAGCCTTGACAACTCTGCTAAACATTACTTCTGCAAGTTAGACTATTTGCTGTTCCTTGCCTATGTTCTCCTTCACACATTTACTCATGCTGTTCCCCTAAATGCTGTCTCCCAATCATCTTCTGTCACTACCCTTATTTAAGTCTATTTCACATTCCATCTTCTCACCAAAGTCTCTCCCATCTCTAATCACAAGAGAACTTTGACCCTTTCACATGAATTTAGCACATTGTGCCTGTTTTGGTATATAGTGT